TACAAAGTAGGGACAGTCAGTGTGTCGTACAAGTAAATTGTAAGCCAGCCGCCGCACGAAACGGACGAATATCGCTAAACGAAGCATCGAAATCATTTTTAAATTTTTCTCTTATATTGTGCGATGCGCTATCGAAGGATCCGCTGCAGAGCCTCATAGTATTTGCTCGAGAGCAACATTTGGCTAGTACTCAGCTTAATTTTAGTTTTCTTTCACTTGTAGGCTGCGGTGAGCTCTGGCAGCATATGCTAACAGGAGTTTTGGCAAAAGAGACAACCAAAGTATAAAATTAATTTGTTTATTCAGTTTCATTTGAGTCTTATACTAAAGAAGTCGCATTGGGCGTTGCTGTGGTCATCTACGAAGTGGGGGCAGCCAGTCTGTCCTCCAAGTAAACTTCTCATGTAATGACGTGATGCATTGAAATCATTTTTGAAATTTTCTTTTATAATATTCGATGCGCCATCGAAGTATCTGCCCTAGGCAGGCCCTCATAGTACTTGTAAAATAATATCATTGCGTGTTCAGCTTGGGCATTTTGTTAGCTAAATCCACTTATCGTCCAAACATTCAATTCTTTTTACTATTTTTCACAATTTGATATGTTCGTCTCGTTTGCATTACATCCATCATACTTGCATATTTTGGCGTTAAAATAAACATGCTTATTTAAAAATTTTCAAATCGTGGTGAGTTCAATAGCATTTCATACAAAACATTGTTCAAATGGTTCGCTCGCCATTTGCATAGATTACACATTATTGCCTTATCTCTTATGCGCTCGCTCCATGATATCAATTATGACTCGTCATATTATGACGCGACTCCCGATAATGGGCGTCGCGAGTGCGCTCTATAAATATGCGAGCGCTAAAATTGATGTGATCGGTGACTTATTATGGTAATTTAATCATTAGATTTTTTTTTTATTACTGTTATGTTTTTGGCTTACTCATATAAATGTCGTCAAACAGTTATAATTAATTTATAATAAATATAAGTAATAATTAATTTACTATGTCTGACGAATGTGTATTTTAAATCTATCTACATTTCTAGGGCCATCACAAAGGTAACAGAGGACGTATCCTCAACGGACAACGCTCCCAAGCCGTACTACCACCGCGGCTTCAACCACATGTTGGTTCTGTGGAGGTACTGGATGACGCACGAGGAGGATGTCTTCGCTGAACTACTCACCAACAACACAGGCACTGCTAAGTTCTGGAAGGAGTTTCCTAAGAAGGTAAGGTTTACGTTGTATAACCTACATGCTAATTTTGAACTGATTTTTCTTTTTTTTTTAAAGTTGCCCCACACTAGGATTTTCTACTTGTCGTGGGTGCGTTTATAAACATAAAAGTTCACATACACATGACACCCGAACCCGAAACAACAATTTGTGGATCACACAAAGAGTTACTCCGTGCGGGAATCGAACCCGCGATACGTTGTGAGGCAGCCACCACACCAATCGTCAATAATGCCGTGCCGTTAATTTTCTTATCGTATCGGTCACTCAACTCAGTCAGTACAATTGTTATTGGTGGTAAGCGCTGGTTGAGTCATCAACGTCACCTATTTATACCAGCATCAGAGGAGTTGCTAACCTTTAGGGATTTGACTCACCCTGTCAGCAAAATACAACATAAGCGGTGTTTCACGCCTTATTTATATGAGTTCGTGGTGTCAGTCCAGTTGAGCTGACATCATTCGTTCCGAAACATCATAAAGATATTTAATTTTTGCCTCAAAAACGTAACACATTACGCATATCGCACCTACGGTTCAATATCGTCACTTATGCAATTTTTGTCAAAACTTAACTGATTATGAAAGAATACTTCAAATTCACCTCTTTACTTGGTGCGTTATTGTCATTTGTGTAGTAAGCAAACTGACATTGTGAGGGCATTACTGTCGTTACGGTTTTGGCGCTAATCTGGACGGCACTAGGAAAAACAACGTTTCATTGATCAGTTGCGCGCGGGCCCCCGCAATACATTAGTGACGGTATAGCACCGGAGGTACGATATGTAACTCAATAATGATAACTACGTATTCACATGAACACCCTCACAATATATCTTCACGCTATTTCAGTTGCTGGGTATGTCAGAGTACACTCTGCCCGCTATAATGAAGTTGGCGGATGACCAGGTGATGCCTCCAGTCAACAAGGAGTGGGCTGAACAACTCACCAAGGAGTTTACTGATGATCTTATTGTGAGTAAATTAATAAATTGTTATTCAATCAATGTTTTTAGTACATCTAGTAGGTGATTCATGTCGCTTTGTGCTTTAAGAGTTGAAAGTTGTGTGGTATTTGAGAAAAAACAAAAATCATTTATTTAGCACCAGGCACGATGCAGCATAAATAAAATAAAAAAAGACAATAAAGGTGTGACAGTGGAAGTAATAAAAATATAAGAGTTGAAAAATTAAAACAGAAGAGTTAGAAAAGAGACGCTGACAACATGCCTATGCCAAATGGGTCACCCACTCAGTATAAGCCAGGCATACAAGTCACCCGACTTGTTTGCCTGTGACCGACCTGAAAGAGAAAGACCCGACAGTGAAAGACAAAAAAAAATATACTTATATATATTGATGCATCTACACACCCACCACAAACACATATATATGCAATAAGTATGCAGATACAACAATGGTATACCTATCAATATTATAAATTTAAAAAGTAATGTAAAATAAAATAATAAAAAAGAAAAATGTTAATAAATAATACACATGACAGAATGAAGGACGTAGGACAGCTAGTGTGTCTGTGTTCTGCATCACTTATACACTAAATTGGCTAGAGTTAAATGATAGACAGATCAATATTAATTGCAGCCTTATCTTTTTGCAAAGTTAAAATAAACATTTTAAGATTATATTTAAAGCTATTTATACTTGGTGAGTCTCTGATAGGTGGAGGTATATTGTTCTAACATTTGGACGCTGTACTAAAAACTGCCTCGAAATGCTGCTGTTTTATGTTGAGGTATAGCTAGATGCTGTGCACACTGCCTAGCCTCCCGCTCTCGGTGAGCACCAACCCAGGATAATTTTGAGTGCAAGTACGAGGGACACTTATTTTTGATTTCGCCGAAAAGAAGACAAGCTAGGTGGAGCTTACGACGTGACTTCATTTTTAGGAGGTTGTGATTGTTAAGATAAGGTGTAACGTGACCCCTCGGTGGTATATTAAAGCAAAAACGGGCACATGCGTTTTGAACCCGTTGAATCAGCCTTTTTGTTCGTGATAAGAGTCTAGAGTCAATTATATTCATTACACTTATCTGAAAATGAATTAGATGTATGTTTTAGTTTTTGCTTGCAATTTTATTTTCAGTGATTATTGTCATGTACCTATTATTAACTGTCTGTTGCCAGCGACTTCGTCCGCGTAGAACAATGAATTTGGGCAGAATTCAGGCTTTTGAATTAGTCTTTATCAAGGGATATTCTATGGTAACGAGTGTCGTCAGAATTGATTCGGGACCTAGTATAAGGCTCCTCCCCCGTAGGTTCGGGTCTATGTAGCCTATATGTTGACTCGTTTGATTTCAGCACGACTTAACATTGAGTAACATTTCAGTATTCGAGCGTTAGGCACATATCCAATTATCCTATTTAAATTCCCTACTAACCACACATGTTTGTTACACTATTACAGAAGTTGCTGGGCGACGACGGAGTACTCCTGTTCCCCAGTAGTCCACTAGTGGCCCCCTACCACTACTCCCCCATAGTGCGCCCCTTCAACTTCGCGTACTGGGCCATCTTCAACGCACTGCACTTCCCTGCTGCACAGGTATGTATTATCATGCAATTCATGTATTATCTTACTATCTTCTATAGTTCATTGTTCAATCCCCAAGCGGTCACCGCTGACGGCTCAATTAACTCCATTATAGACCTTATTTCCGATATTTAGAGACTATTTTTGTATGAACAAATTTTGGGGATTTCCGGTATGATATATCAACGTATTAAAAAATCCACTTTAACATTTATCAATACTAAGGGTTTTTGAAGTCATAGCAAACGGCTTTACTCGATTTAACATCAACTCCTCCTCCTCCCGCCTCACCCAGGCGGGAGCAATGATTCGATGATTTTCCCCCTTTAAAAAAAAGCCTTCATTACTATTACATTATTAAACCAAAACTTACCATCATTACAGGTACCTCTAGGCCTGAACAGTGACAAGGTACCAGTGGGTATCCAAGTAGTGGCTGCGCCCCGCCAGGAGGCGCTGTGCGCGGCTGTGGCGGAACACCTCGGGGAAGCCCTGGGGGGCGTAGTCCCACCCTGCCAGATACTGCAGTAGACACACCGAATACTGACACGTTACTCAATTTAAAGTTTTACTTAAATATCGTGCTGTCTCTGTCATTTTACTAAGAATTTGTAGGGACAGAAATGTTTTGAGGGAGTCTTAAAATTAGTGTATTTGGATATTTCAACATTAGTATTGAGGCTTAATTTTTACCCGACTGAAGGATGGGTAGTGTTATTAGAACTGAACTGATGATAATAATGTTGACTAGATGCTTTTATTATAAACAAATTGTATTTAATAGTTTACGCTTTAGTATAATGCTCAGATTAACTTGCTCACTTCTATTCGATTTGCTCAATTTACCTCTATTCACAACGTAAAAAAAATATTTTAAAAAGCGTAAATAATTATTTTATACGTTAGTGCTCGTCAAATACTTTATATCTAAAATAAGTGAACAATGATACTGTTTTTAATATTCATATATGTATGATTCAGATAATACTCTAAACCGAGATTTAAAAAAAAAGTAATACACATTTTTGGAAAACAGCGACTTCTGAATTGTTATGAAACATTACATTAAGTACCTATTCTCTAAGGTCCAAGTTATGCATTTGTATGTAATATTTAAATTAAGTACATATGTACCTAAATTGTGATCGATGTCTTCCATTGTTGAAATACTAAACACCGTGAAATCTATTTCATTTTCGTCCCATAACAAAAAGGTTCAAAATTAAAAATTCTTATTTAAATAGAGTTAATAAGTATTACATTTGATGGTTATGTTACATTCTTTGTTCTTCTAGTCTATTTAGCCTGATTAGGGAATGTCAAGTTAAATACATTTAAATAAGGAAAGGAATGGTTGTTAATAATTATAATCAACTAGCTTTTACCCGCGGCTTCGCTCGCGTCACAAAAAGATAAAAAGTAGCCTATGTGACATATAACAATACATACAGCGCCATCTATACCAATACTTTTGTTTTCCCTCGAGAATATAAAATTTTCTCCGGGATAAAAAGTACCCTATTATTTAATCTGGACTTCTAACTTTACGTCTGCAAAAATTCAAAGCAATCGGTTTAGTAGTTACGGCGTGAAAGCGGAACAAATAAACAAACTCACTTTCCAATTTATAATATTAGTAAGGATAATAATCCAATTCAATAACATTCACAATATAATTCAATTAAATTCGAAACGAAATCCAATACAAATATGAAGTCAGATATTTTATTTTGCTAGACAATGTCAAGTATAAACTCTGTCATCAATCTCTTTGTTGGTTCTGTCTTGCTAATACAATAGTTTTACAAGGAAATAAAATGTTTAAAACAAAAGATAAATTGTGAACCATTGCAAAAAGCAAACTTACGAACTCATATCATATCAAAATATCACGCCGTGTAATAGGGTAGACGACTAATTTTTAATTTAATGTCCGTCTGGTAGATTATTTTAAATCATTAGACACGTATTTTTTATTTTCCTACAGAAACGAATACTTTCGATGATATATTGATTTGAAATGTCGCGTGACGTCACTTATATGTGCGTTTTATATGTAGAAATGACGTTTTAGCCCCCACTCCTAAACTTTAATTCGTTTTATCTAAGTATTGTTTTAACATACGACAAAATAAAAAAAATATGTGTCTAATATTTTTTCATTACCTAACTTATGGACTAATTATATTTTTAATTTTCATACCCTGTCATCATCCCAATTCTCGAAGAGGTATTCTCGTCGGGTGGCACGTGCTATGCGAATGTTCAATGGAATTTTATATTAAACTAAAAAAAATATCTTTATCTTTATTTTATTTTTGTTTTGATATCGCAAATACTCCTTGTGGCAAGTTGTTTTTCCGCGGGACGAATACGAAATATATTTCACGGTGTATTATATATAGGTTGTAAGCTTAACTTATCACTCACTTAAGTTATGAAATGGTTGTGGATGTATTAAGGTGTCGGTTCGATGTCAGTGTTGAGAAAATAAAATTATTTTTTTAAATAAAGCATATTTATTAATGTTATAAATTATTGCTTCGTTAGTCGATAGCATTATAGCGACTGTTGAACTCGATGTCTTGAATTTGATTACCTGCTGGGGCAATTTTGAGTTTTCGAGTTCGTAATTTTCTGTCCATATATGCTCAATGTATGTTTATAGCATAGGGTATTACATGAGATACGTAATAACTGATGAAAATTATTATAATATGAATATGCGCATCTCTGCCTATCCCTTTGGTGTGAGAAAGAGCGTAATGTTACGATTTATTCCTTGATAATAAATTATGCTTCAGTTTCTGTGATGTATTTGATGAATTAAGTACATTGATGTTAGTGAATTAATATTATGTATTTGCTGAATGTAATCAAAATGACGAAATATATTTTTTATTAAATATTTGTTGGTTTTTTTTCTTATACCCTAGTCTAAATATTAAAAGAGGTACATACTTGTTTTTATATATTGTTAAATTCGCTATTGCAAAGTCACATTTCTTATAAGTCGCCTAACAAAAATAATATGGGAAATAATGAATAATGGTAAACAAGCGGATCACCTGATGGTAAGCAATCGGCGTCGTCCATGGACACCTGGAACACCAGAGGCATTCAAAGTCAAAGCATTTATTTCAATTAAACTATAGTTTGGTACTTTTGAAACGTCAACAAATACAAAATAAATAATAGTCTGTCAGCCAGTCCGTCAGTGAAATTAGGTGAAGCTAGGTGCTCATTCCAAAACGTAGATTCGAATGGAGAAGAACGAGCAAGAAACTCCATTCGTTACTCTTTTAAAAAAGTATGTTCTACAATGTCTCTGATACATATTTCAATACTGTACGCATATGTAAGAACAATGCAAAGACACGCTTGACGCATTATACTAATAACTTACTAAAATAAAAAAAATAAAAATCTTAAGTCTAACATGGCGCTCACATATGCATACTGACAATCCATACAAATAGTGCTTCTATACAAGAAAAAGGAAACTCTTTGTTTCAATAAAGAAAGAAATGCTCGATGCCATAAGGAAACTAGATTGTCTACATTAGAATTAAAGTATTAAATTATGTATTATATTACCTACTATTGGAATTTAACTACTGACTACATTTGAGTATTGTCCAGTGGAGCCGAACCAACATGCTGCCAAGCATTCTTATCTTCAAGATAATCTGTCAGTGTGTAGTAAGCTTGATTACATAATTCGCGCTTAATATATGTTTTAAATTTACTTTCATTGAGATCTAGTATGCTATTTGGTATTTTATTATAGCATTTAATACCTAACCCCATAAAGGATTTCTGTACTTTGGACAGTCTGAATTGCGGTATAGCTAACTTATTTTTGCCTCTAGTATTAAAATTGTGTCTATCGCTTCTTTTTTCAAACAATTGCCTATTTTTCCTTACATACATTATATTTTCATATATATATTGACAGGGCACCGTTAAAATATTTATCGTTTTAAACAATTCTCTCAACGATTCGCAACGGCGTAAGTTATATATTGCTCGGATAGCCCGCTTTTGCAGAATAAATATTGATTCTATTTCTGCAGCTCGACCCCACAACAAAATGCCGTACGACATAATGCTGTGGAAATAACTAAAATAGACAAGCCTAGCTGTATCCACGTCCGTGAGCTGTCTAATCTGTCTAACTGCAAAAGCAGCTGAGCTCAATCTCCCCGAAAGCGCCTTTATATGCGGACCCCATTGTAGCCTACTGTCTAACGTAATGCCTAAAAACACCGTCTCGTCGACAAATTCTAACTTTTGACCGTTCAAAACAATATCACAATCGTTACTACGCACGTTTGGTAAACTGAATTTAATACATTTTGTTTTTTTTTTCATTAAGTGCTAGATTATTAATGGTAAACCAATTATGCACTTGAAGAATGGAGCTGTTTACGTCGTCAAGATTATTTGTACGTCGATCTACTTTAAAAATAGATCAAGTACAAGTGCGTACCCGCGTTTTGGGAATTGGGGATTTAAGGATTACGGGGGAGACTGGGGAGGACGGTACTTGGGTCTCCGGAACCTCACACGACGAAACACAAACGCAAGCGTTGTTTCACGTCGGTTTTCTGTGAGGCCGTGGTATCACTCCGGTCGAGCAGGCCCATTCGTGCCGAAGCATGGCTCTCCTACACTTAAATTATGGTTAGGTGCTAACATAGGCGCAGCTAGGATTCCTTTTAGGAAATAAATATAAAATTTAAAACAACAAGGTACTCTCGTTTACATTATTTTTTAGTTAGCACCTCTGAATTTCGACATATTGCAAGATCTCATCTGAATTCAAGACTAGGACAAGACGAACTGGCTTACTCTTGAATCCAATTCCGATCGACATTGATATTGCGAAATTTCGTACTCTTGAGTTGCAACACTAGCGCGCATTGCATCCGTATTGCGGGGATATTGAATGAACTAAATGGTATTGAGTATGTCTCCATATCCCGTACTCTGAATGCTATTGTAACAGCCACGATTGTGGTTGTATAGTGTTCACATTAAATAATTATTGAGATTTTATTGTATTGAATTTGCATTGACATAGAGATTGGATTCAAGAGTAAGCACCCAGGTCTAAGCTATCCCATCCTCGTAAGTCATTATCACTTCATCAAATATAGTTTATAATAAAATCGTAGGAAATTGACAAATGTATATCGATTTTGTAAAGAATGCTTTGGGCGTGATCTCGGTATCGAAATAAAAAATATGGTTTTTAGAATTTTTGTCTGTTTATCTGTATGTATGTCCGGGATGAACTCAAAAAGCTGCATGGATTTACTTCAAATTTTGCATGAATATTAGGTACTAACAGGTCGGATCAACATATAGGCTATATATTATCATGCTGTAAACTACGGGGCAGGGATGTAAATCATTATTCCACGCAGACGAAATCGCGGGCGCAGCTAGTTCTTTCTAAAATAATAGAGATGGAACGATATTTAACCGCAACTCAAAATTAAGTAGCCATTTAGTATTCGGGCGTATAAGCCTTCGGGAATTACCGTAGACGACAAATTGCAATGGAGTCCTCACATTACATTATCTTTAGCGGGACAATTGACCTCTTCTAATACTGTCTGGAAGATCCGACAGGCACGGCAAGACTAGTGCACTTCAGTTACGTTCATAGCATTATGTTGTATAACATTTTGCTGTGGGGACACGCTACTGACATTGAGTCTATTTGTACCTTACAAAAGCGCGCCGTCAAAGCTATTAAGTAAGAAGATCAACGTTCAATGTCAATTTATTAATGAAAACATGTTAGGAATAACCTAGTTATTTGGTAAGGTATCGGACAGACATCACTATCAAACTAGACATAAGAATAGAGTAAGCCAGGCTATTTTGAGATTGGCGAAAGTAAGTCGTACATTGGATTCTGTGTTAAATGTCATAACAAGATACCAGGCGATATACAACACTTGACGACATTCATATCACACTGTAATTTAATTTGCATGCCGAAAGGAAAAATGTGCCTCGTTGGCCGAGCGGTCGCAAGTGCGACTACCGGGCAAGTGGTCTCGGGTTCAGGCAAAGTATTATCTACTGGGTTTTAAAAATCTCAGTAGTATTTTTTTTTTTATGGAATAGGAGGCAAACGAGCAGACGGATCACCTGATGGTAGGCGATCAGCGCCGCCCATGGACGGA